TTTATTTGTTTAATTATTGTGACCATTCATACCTACATATTAAATCAAATGGCCTCTAAAAATGGAAAACTTGATGTTCGCGGTTTTCAAGATGCTTAGACAAATGAATATGGATTCGTACAAAAAAGGGTCGTGTATGTGTGTTATGTCGTGAAAGCGTATGTCGCACGTCAAGTGTACAAAGACATTTTCAAACTAAACATTAGTTCAAATAAGAATTCCGATGAACATTGGAAAGATATAAAAAGAGCTAGTACTTGGTATAAGAAACAAGTTACATGTTTTTGTCAAACAATTGGAACTAAACCTAAAGCTACCAATATGTAGTTTCGTAACTGCTCATTGTGCAGCTGCCAAAGGCAAATCTACATATCTCTGTGAACAAATCTCTTCTCATATGAAAGTATTTTGAGTCCACAAAGAAGCTGTTTAGCAACTGAACATTCAGAACTATTGTCAAATTTAAAGTCACAAATTATATCTCCGATATTGCGATATTAAGTAGAACGGACCAACGACACGGTTCGTATTAAAATTTTAATTTTTCATATAACTGTATTGAAGGAATACTTATATTATAATTATATAATAATTATATTTATTTACTCAAATCTTTATATTACTTCAATGTTTACTTATGTAATTATATTTACTTAAATAATAATGATATTTATTTATATGTCAATAAATATTTTTAAATGGTGCATAATTAATATATAATAAAACTATAAATCTGTATTCTTGACCTCTATTCTATAACTCTGACTGCACTGCGGCGGGAATTGAATTGTACTGTGTGGCATCTTGAATCGCACTGGTAAACTTGTTTGGCACACCGCAGCCACAAGGTTGCCGACTGCTAGTCTAGATGAAACCTGGGATGAACACAGGTAAACAACTTACGTGCGCTTCGCCGTATAAACCTGTTTTTTTCGGGTCGGATAAAAACCTCCGGGTACTTACTCATGATTTTCTTAGTGGTCCAGAACGTTGCCCAGGGCGCACTGCAAAAAGCGACCGGTATTAAACTCGTGAAGTGGAGGTAGAAGACAACACAACTACAGGTACTCCTTATACAGACTTTCCATATCTTTCGTTAGTAGTCAGCCTCCGCTGACCACTGTATCGTCCAGCGCAACAAATAGCCAGTTTCATCTCCACAGATCCAAAGAAAAAATCTTCCAAAGAATTTCAAGCTGAAAATATTAGTGCCACTTAAATCTTCAGCATTTTATTATAACGGCCATCCTAAAGTTTGCGTTAAAATTTTCTTACGCTTAAGTATCAAATTTCAGCTCTTATGGAAACAATCTGAAAATGCAGTTTATCGGGGTAAATTCAACAAGACTAAATCCATATTATGCAAATCCCTTTTGTGTGATTTCGTTTCATTAAATGCAGGCACTTATATATAATATCATCTTTCCTATTGCTTTGAATCAATACTTATACTCCACCAGAAACTTTCACTTACTTTCAGCTTCTTCATTTTACGTCGTTGTAGTGTGCGTGATGTGATTACTAAACACGCTCAAAAATATTTAATCATCCCATCGTTGTTTAAGGCTCAAGTGTTTAATCATACCATCTAACACCCTACAAAAGTAGTTAGAAAACTGCAACATACGCTCATAAACTCTGTCTGCTTGTATACTGTCATTAATTTCACAGCTTGTCTTTCAATTACGACTGGAATGGAAAGTAACCATAAATATTACGTTTTAAAAAATATTTCAGCTTTAATAAAACTTCCATTTATTTTTAACAATGATTAAATAAAAGCGCGCAAAAGCGAAAACAAAATTTATATCTTATTTTCAGAAATGTAAAAAACTTAAATGATTACCATGTTCACACTGAATGCTTCTGAAAGTAAATATAGGATAATTCAAAAATCAGTAAACATTTATCATTTATAAATATGTATTTCACTAAATTTATAGCATAAAATAAGTCAACTATCACAGAAGGGCATGCAATTATCGTTTGTTTTTAAATTGTATAGCATAAATTTTTAACTATAATTTACCCGTTATTATAAAGCTTTGTATTTTGAAAGTCTGAACACATTATGGTTCATGATCTACTCTTATCACAAGTCAGAACTATGTTGATTAGATAGAGAACTTGATTTGTCACTTGAAAGAAAAGTGTGCATTGGAATGTGTGCATAATGAAATTTACACCGCTTTCTTCTTTTTCTCCCCCCTTTGCAGTATAATTGTTCGTTCAAATTTCTAGATCTACAATTGTGGGATTTGACTTTCAAAACGTTTTCAGTTCAGACGGCAAGAAATTTATCATTAAACCAGACTGACAAGTTCTGCCACTCCAGGAGGCGATTCTTATGAGTGTAAAAGGATCTTTCATGTTCTGCCACTCCAGGAGGCGATTCTTATGAGTGTTAAAGGGTCTTTCATTTATTTTCCATGTGACCCGGTAACTTGCTGATGCTGCCACAATTTCGACTACAAATTTCTCAATTTACCTTTCAAATTAAAACATGCATTACTTAATTAACATATCTGTTTAAAAGCAATAAATTTACTTTTCTGCATTTTATATCTATGTCATATTTTTAACAGTATCTATAATTAATGCAATCTATTATTCTTCTGATTTATGTGATTCATAAATCACAGTTAAGTAATATGAGATTTTTCATTACAATAGATATTCTTCTTCTTTATATACGGGTCCACGAGCGGCCGAGCGGTAAAGTCGCTGAACACTGATAGTTCGGTTTGAGGTTCGAACCCCGCGAACGGGCTGGCTGCATGGGCGTTTTCGTGGTTTTCCCCATGTGTTACGTGTATACGAGCCAGTTTCCCTTAGAAAGTCCTCCACGAAGGCATTCCTCCCGTTAGGCAGAATGCCCTCGAGGCTTTGTCATAATCACACACACCATGGCTTCTTCTTTATATACGTTTAATAATGCCGTAAAAAAAACACTAATTGGATAAACCATAGCTTGCAAACTGGTCCCTTTTAAGATCACTTTCCACGGCTTGTAGAAAGATTAGCAGAATTTACTATTATTATTATCCTTGACGTTATACATTATAGATTTCAGAGCAAATGTATGTTTTCATACTTTGTTGATGATCAGATGAAGTACAAAATTTCAAAACAGCAAAACTCTAACCAACTAAACAAACTAGAAGTAAGTGAACTACAATGTGATCTTTCCAATAAATGGAAGAGACACTCAATTAGAAAGGGAATATCAAGTGAAGTGTTGCGTCATAATGTACGGATTTATCAGGAAGCTTGTATCCATATTTGGACGATTATATACACGAAAATAAGCGCTTTCCATAATGAAGGCAGTGTAATTGTTGTACAGAGGCTGAAAACGTATCTTCGGAGCTTATTAAAAATGTCAGTTACGTTATGGAAGTGCCAATATTTTCATTCTCTTGCATAAGATAAATCTTAATGACATATGTATTTCATTGAAAAATATACTCAAATTTATATTTTGAATATCTTATCTAGATAATCTCGTGTCTGATTTTGCTTTTATTCTACCTGCAAAACTGTTTATTGCGATAGTTGAAATAAATATTACAATTATCTTAAAAACTATAGTAATAATTATTTATTCCTTAAGAACGTAATATTAAGTATTGATATTAAACTTGATAGTATTGATATTAAGTAAAATATTTTAATGTTTACTTTCATTCATTATTTATATTTTATTTTTATTCATTAGCAACGTTTTATTTAACTGTTGAATCATTTAAATATTATTTTTATATTATTTTTTATTTTATTTGCATTCTATGCTACTAGTGACTAGAAACTAAAATACGCTACAGTTTATAAAATAATTAATTCTATGGAAGATTCTTTGTGAAGATACTCAATAGCTGAATACATTTAAAAAATGTTATTTTATGTATTATTATCAAAGAAAACAAGTTAACTGCTTCCATAAAAACGTCAAACATAAACTAAAATTTAGTCAATATAAACGCTCGTTGGTGATAAAATGTCTTCTTATTAAAAATGTGTTTCAAAGTCAAACCTGAATTAAAAACATTATCAGTGATAACTATCTATCTCTTCCCCCCCCAAAAAAAAAAGACAGTGGTGCCAAAACAAAACAAAACAAAAAGCAAAAAATTCTGAAAAAGATTCCAAACATTCATTAAACCCCTTCTCCAGAGAAGATAATTACCAATCAGCTAAATTGAAAGTATCAGTATCATCTTAACAGGTACCCTATGTTGTTGACCAAATTAAACAGGTTTATAACTGCTTAAATATTAAGTGCTTAAAGAAATATCATTTGCAAGTTCCACAACGTAACTAGTATTAATTGCATGTTTCTTTATAAAAATTTAGTTCAGTTAACAAGTAAATGGATAGCTGTGGGCGCACGGTGTAACAGTAAAACAAATGAATGAGTATCTACAAGTAGCACAGATTTCACGTACAGTTGCATCTTTACAATGAAGAATGCCCTCGTTGTTGTTAGGTTGAAATCCCACACAGACCAGTTCATTCTGCGGTCAATTCTATTATATTTGAATTGCACTCTCGCTTTTCTTATTAGTATATTTTGCGCATATGAGTGCATATTCCTTGAGTGCTTCTCGACTAATCGCCTTGGGCGCATCTTGGTATTTGAAGGAGTAACCATATGATGTGAGAGCAGTTCGATATTACTTCGAAGATTTGAACTTTATACTCTAATTTGCTTATTAAAATAGATCAAAGTTACCTTCTAGAATGACAGGATTAGGAGTCACAGACTAATTTTCTCTAAATACAGAACAATACGCAGTTTCAAAATTATAATCATTGCTTCGTCTACTTTAAGTTAAGGCTTATTTTTGACATCAACATTTCATGATTTTACGAGACAATATGCCTTAGGCAATGTACCTTATGACCAGTATGTGTCAAATGTCACAGAAAAATAATGTCAAATTTTAAATCTAAAGTTGATTTTTGAACTGAAGTTTTAAAAATAATAAAAGCATATTTACTTGTTTGAAACCTTGGTACATTAATCTAATTTCTTTTCTTGTAAACTTGGTCGTCTTACATAGGGCATCCAAGCGTTCGGGTTTATATCTGGTCACGAACAGTTCCACATCTTCAAGATCATTGTCTAAATTAAAAAAGAACATTTTGTAAAACAGCAATTTTAAACAGAAAAATATTGTAGCATATATATCACACTTCTACGAAAATACGTCAAACATTACCTAAAATCCGTATCATTATATGAAACTAATACGAGATGCGGCGTTGTTGTTGCTTTAAGGATTATGAACATTTTTTCCAATGTAATTAATTATCAGATGTCTATTAAACTGACACCTTTTTAGCATTATCATAACGTTGTACATATTTATGAGAAATATATGAGTTAAAATTATTTGTTATAGTTGATTATGGCAAAGCGCATTAGGGCTATCTGCCTAAGGGAGGGATACTTTCATGAAGGACCTTCTAAGTGAAACTAGCTCTTATACACGGTACACATCAAGAAAACCACGGAAAAGCCCATGGTTTTTCCGTGGTTTTGCAGCCAACCCGTTCGTCTGGAATCGAACTGAGGTCGGAACCATTAATGTTCAGCAATTTTACCGCTGGGCCGTGGGTGAGCTGAGCCCAAATGTCTGGAAACAGAATGTTTGATGCTGGCAACACACTCTATGCCCATAAAGCAAACAAGTTTAGCTATAACATTCTAAGCGTCTGTATTTCCGTTAAACATGATGAAAACCTTATGCAGCCAACCTATTTAAAAGCTAAGAGTAGAACCCAGGATAAAATTCCAAAGAGCGCTATGCAGTTTTAAAAAACCAAAATTTTTCAATTTAGCTAAGCATTTATTAGTTCAAAGTGTAATTCTGTTGCACATTACATTTTTGGGAAGGTAACGATGACATTTTATTTTATTTCCCTATGGTAAAACATTTTTAACTATTATTACACTTATTTCAAACTATTTAATCTTTGGAATTTTCTTTCATATTATGAAAAATTATATCTTATGATACTAGGTCATTTTCAGATTCCACTTGAGGCCCAGTGTATCAGTATTTCACCTTTTTAATGGAAGATTATAGCACACATGCTGGTTAGATTTCTTAACGTTTGAAAAGCAAATGCCTGTAATTCTTAGTTATGAGCAGATTCTCCGATGAGATTACAACCAAGTAAATCATCCAGTGTCAAGTTACTCGAAACTAATGTTTAAACAAAAATAATCAGCAAATGGAACCTAGCTGTGCATTATTCAGTTGTTAGAGCAGATGTTGTGAGTAAATGGGTCTTGACTGTAAGTTCCAGCCTGAATCATTCTGAGAATAGGATGCCGTTACCAAGCCACAACGGCATAAAAGGTGCACCTTGTCATCTCAGAGTCAAAGAAATCAGACGACAACTGAGAGCGAAAGTAATCAAAATCCGTCGAGTGTCGTCCTTAATTGGAAATCCTTAAGTGAGATCATTAAGCAAAAACGAATACATATCCATGAATTGGAAATCCATCTAACAAATCTAGGGAATGTAAATTTACTAAATTTTTCAGTTACTAGTAAATTGGTAAAAATGTTAATTAAAATTAATTCGTCAGTAATTTACTCTTCATTTAATCTTTCTTTGCGAAAACATTATTAAAATGTAAGATTAAATATTACAAACATATATATTTATTCAAAATATATTTAGGCAATACAAAATATATGTGAAAAAGGTTCGATTTGAACGCAAAATTAAATTTAAAGCAATGCATCATATGTATGTAAAATATAAAATCTAGTTTTCATTTAATAAATTAATAGCCCTTTAACTCCTGCCTTCATTCTAAAAATGACAGAGCAATAAATTTTCTAACTGAACGAAACATTCTAACTGAACGAACATTTCTAACTGAACGAAAAATATACGTCAGCTAATCTGTTTTGCGCACTTAATTGATGAAGTCCGAACCCAATACCTGTACATTAAACTGCCATGCGATCTGAAATGAAATGCGGTATAAAAGCTTAATTGCATCGCAGCTTTCCCTCTTCTGCTTCCAGAAGCTTGTGTCGCCTTGCCGCTATCCAAAGTTTACTTATTTTCGACCTTTAAGAAGATATAATCTGTGCAAAATTAGGGGGCAAATATCACACCTACTGTGATAATGTGCATTATCCAGGAATAAAAATATTTGGGGAATTTAAGCCATATCTGCAAGTTTTTTGGTTTACACATCCATCTTTCTAACTACGCAATCAGGTTGTCTTCAGGTTATGATAAGAGAACCACATCTAATCCGTTGCAACTTACTTCTACCAAGTCATCTTATTGCAATAATAACACTGTCTTATTACAATAATGAAGCATCTATATACAGTATATGATCATTTTAAATAGTTATGTATAAGTATATATATTTAATATAACGTATATGTGCCTATATAGATATACATATAATATAATTATTAAAAGACTAGAAAATAGTCAAAGTTTAATTGCCAGTTTACAATTTCTTTCCTATGAAGGTCCTAACCATTTTGTATCTCGAAGAGAGTCGTACCCAAAGGTTGTACAAGTAAAAAATACAAATATTGATACTATACTGAAAGCACTACACAATAAAATAAGCAATAAAAATGATAATGAAGGAAAAATGAAGCATTAATCCTGAGTTTAATGCTTCAGGCAGAACTTATCAAGGGAAAAATGTTTTGAAGCCCTAAACCAAGTTGATTAATGAGTTCCGAATACATGTTTCGTTCCTCTGATACATTTGAGATTCTGTACCGTGATTTTCGAAATAAATGTTGAATTTAATTTAGCTTTCAATGTCTCTCAATGCTTTTCCTTGCATGCATTTGCAACCCCTAAAACAGCAAAATTACAGTACTTAAGAAGAAACACACAAAAAAATACAATGAAGATTCAAATATACATATGAAGATTCAAATTAAAAGCACAAAAATGTTTAGGAAAGAACCTGAAAATCTAAAAAGCTAAAAAAGCCTAAAAAGGCCAAACGAACCAATTACAACCGTATACAATTAGGGGAAACCCTGATCAAAAAAATTAACAAATTAAAATGGTCAGTATTTAAAACCTAAAAAAAGGCGGCTCGAATGCGTATTAAATTAGCTTTTATCCGAATCGAAAAAAAAAAAAAAAAACGGATAAATTTTGAAACAAAAAGCTGCTGACACATACATATGTATATCATATATATTTTTAATACATATATACATATAATATGTATATATGTATTAAAAATAATGTGTGTTTTAAATTTAATAATATATTAATAATTACAAATTATTTATATATAAATAATTTAGTAGCATAACATGAATTATACGTCAATCGGTCGTTTTAAGGAAAACACTGAAAAAATTCTCATCTTATGGGTAGAATTAAATATTTTTAGTCATAAATTCTTTCTAAACAGTACGAGCAAAAATTATACTTTGTCTAAACTGTAGTCTCCTTACTTAAAATCTAATTCGTATGCAAAATAGTCCAGCTGTTGAAAGATTTCTGTTGGGTATTAACATTGTCGATCTGGTAGAAATTAGCAAGTCATACTTTGTTTTAAAATTTTTTTCATCATATTTGTTTACAAAAAATATTCCATTTCCTTTTCGCAGCCTACTTTGATTCATTTATTATCAGAGTTGATTTTCACAAGGGATACAGCAATTTTGATCTGAAGCTTTTCCATCATTGATATCGATGAAATATCCATGAAAGTTGGATCAGAAAAAATTTGAAATGAGTATCATACGTTAATTATCGCAAGTATAGTTTGTTTTTATATATGTGTTCAATTAACCTCAGGGATTTCTTCGTAATTGTAGTTTTAGTTGATTTAATAATAATTCCATAATTTTTTGCATGCCAAATTTTGAGGTGAGAATCAAAAACATATTTTAGAGCATCAGAATAAGTATTTCGTCTTTTTTTATATATTGCTTTGAAATATTCTTAATTCATTACTTAAAAGTGAATTTTCATATATATTAGTATTTCAGTCATGAATTTCAGTGTAATATCAGCTTTAATTTTCATTGCCTGTAAAATTTATATTAGACATAAATTGTTTGGAAGTCTATTTGACACATGGGCAGCGGAATTAAAAAGACATACTGGTATATGTTATATATACTCAGTTTATAGCTTCCTAGTTAAATGTACTTGCTCAGAACTAACGATTGTTATATGAAACTATATATCACATCGGCTAATTTCCGCCTAAGAATTAACCAAAATTAAAATGCAATTCTTATAATAACCAAATTAAAATTTTACTGATGTGTCTGCACTGCAGAATCTTCTCGTAGCAGGTAAAATGCGTAACTCTAATTTTCTAACTTAACAAATCAAACTTAGCCGACGTGAGAGCTTGTAAATGTGCTTCACCTGATGATCAGCTAACAATTATAAATTCAGAAAATATCATGTACTGCTTGAAGCTCCCATTTAGATCACCAGTAAAAGGTTATTCAAATTTATCTGGCAGAAAGGATGCGGAGTGAAGCAGTCACATTTCACTCCAGCGCCAATTATTGCAAACTATTATTATCTATTATCACTTATCATGCAGTAATTATATATTTTCCTAATCTACATTTTGTTTAATAGATTTACTTTTTTCTTTCTTGAGTGAGCTTTTTTGTAAACAAATTAAGAAACCATGAATAAAACTTTAAAACTTATTAATAACTTACAAATTGAAGATGTTTATAGAATACTTCTTATCCGGAAATGGCAGCTATTTATATAGAGCTCTCGTTATGAAGCAATTAAATGTATTAGTCTCAATCTTCAATTTTGTGTCCGTTTACTTTTGTATCGAATCACTTTTGAAACAAAGAATGCTATCGCCATCAATTCTTATTTCTATACATCATTTTTAACGAAATAATGTAGCAAATATCAATAATATACCGAATATAAAAATGTATTTCAATAATTAACATTCTATTGGGAATTCTAAAGATATGATGATTTTAACGATTTCGTACTATGGTTGGATTTTATGTGGCGCAAGTAAAAAGCAATGTTCAATAACAAATCTAAAATGTTAAATAAAAAAAAATTGTCAGCTTATTAAGAAAACTGAACATTGATATCACAAATTGAGAAAACACTGGAAAAGTTT